CAGCTTGTTGCATTTAAGCAGCAAAAATACACACAAAATGACACCAAAATGGCCATCCTGGCCACACAGTTAAATAAATGATAATATTCAGTGATGTGATCTGTGAAATGTGGAGTAAGGTCTGGCGCAGTTGCAGCTTGTACTTATTACTAAAACAAGAAAGCAAACGAGTAGCATTAATAGTCATTCATTTTAGTTAACATATGCTATGATAATTTGAACAGATTTTTATTCTTATTGTAAAATAATGGAACATTTAGGTCATGAATATTGTCTCAAAAGTCATGGAAAAATCATGGAAATTTATTGGTAAAAATTTGTACGAACCCTGTATATAGTAGTTCAAAATGTGTAGAGCATGGAATAAAAAAGTTCATGTACTGTAGATGATCATATAAATGATCGGTCTCACATATATTCCTACTACTGCTGTTCCTGAACAAAGTGCTATCCTTAATGAATCTGTTTTAATCAAACTGAATTGATCAGAGTGCTGTTATATTCTCTGTTCTGGCACTGTGCAGGATTCCCTTCAGGACTCTAGTGGTAAGTTTACTGTCCCATCAAGTGCTCCTGCAGAACCTGTATGACATCCTCCTAGAGGAGTTTGTGAAAGCTTCTGGGAGCTCCGAGAGCAAAATCCCCACGGCAGTGTCAGAGCTGAAACCCGCAGGCTTTCTCCGCTACATCTCAATGCAGAACCTGGCCATCATCTTTGACCTGCTGCTGGACTCGTACCGCACAGCGCGGGAATTTGACACCCGTCCAGGACTCAAGTATCTCCTCATGAAGGTGTCAGGGGTGTGTGGAGCTGCTAACTTATACCGCCAGTCTGCCATGAGCTTCAATATCTACTTTCAGGTACATTTACAGTACACTTTTTCCTCGGATATAAATATATAAATGAAATCAACACCCAAACAAACAATTTTGTGAATTTTTACTATTTGTCTGTTCTGTCTATGCAAACACCAAACACCAAAAAATGGTGTTTGTACATAGTCCTGATGTGTAAATGGGGAAAAAAACAATGGATTGGACCATTCAGACCGAGCAACACAACACTCTTATAGCCAATCAGCAATAGGAGCCATTTACATTCATGATGGTGAAGAGAGAGAGTGAACAAGTGGTAGATTTGTAGAAAGAGAGGTGGCTGAGACATGAGGAAAAGAACAGAGGAATATCACTGGAAAAAGAAGAAGGGTTACAGTCAGCCAAGAGCTAGGACCCACATCAATATTGAAAAAGTTTTCCAATATTGAACCAAGATATGGTGTTGTTGTAATGTTAGCTGTAGTAACAGGACTGATTCATCCATGCTTGTGTGAGCTGTCTGTGCCAGCTGTTAGTCGTTGCATTGTGTATTTGATTTCTAATATTAGCAGTTTCTCAGACATCACTTACTGCACTTACAAAAACGTATTACATGCTAACATCCTATTCAAAACACTGTTCTTGACCTAACTTCAGTGTTTTAAATGACATGATATTAAATGACTATAGTAGTTCAATAAACAATTAATTAAGACACACAATATTGCCAGTTTTGCCAATTAAAATACTTTTCTTTTGGTTAATGTTAATTCCTCATATACAGTACATTTTCAATAAATTTTCAACAATCATTAAGATTTTTTAAGGTTTTTAAAAGAAGTCACTTATGCTCACCAAGGCTGCGTTTATTTGATCAAAAATGGCTACGGTGACCTCGGAATAAGAAAGAAACAGACTAATATTAGCGTAGATGCCATTCTTCTAACGATGTAGCAAGTACATCGGGTGTTATGGAAAGTGTTCCCGGTTCCGGTTGTCCTCATTAATGCAGCGTAAAAATCCTTTAATGGATTTGAATATTAGAAGTGTGTTAAGTGAAAGCCAGGTTAAAGAGATGGGTCTTTAATCTAGATTTAAACTGACAGAGTGTGTCTGCCTCCCGAACAAAGCTAGGTAGGTTATTCCAGAGTTTGGGCGCTAAATAGGAAAAGGATCTGCCGCCTGCAGTTGATTTTGATATTCTAGGTATTATCAAATTGCCAGAGTTTTGAGAACGCAGCGGACGTGGAGAACTAGAATGCAATAAGAGCTCGTTCAAATACTGAGGTGCAAAACCATTCAGGGCTTTATAAGTAATAAGCAAGATTTTAAAATCTATACGATGTTTAATAGGTAGCCAGTGCAGTGTTGACAGAACCGGGCTAATATGGTCATACTTCCTGGTTCTAGTAAGAACTCTAGCTGCTGCATTTTGGACCAGCTGGAGTTTGTTTATTAAGCGTGCAGAACAACCACCCAATAAAGCATTACAATAATCTAACCTTGAGGTCATGAACGCATTAATTAACATTTCTGCATTTGACATTGAGAGCATAGGTCATAATTTAGATATATTTTTTTAGATGAAAAAATGCAGTTTTAGAAATGCTAGAAACGTGGCTTTCAAAGGAAAGATTGCTATCAAATAGTACACCTAGGTTCCTAACTGATGATGAAGAATTGACAGAGCAGCCATCAAGTGTTAGACAGTGTTCTAGGTTATTACATGCAGAGTTTTTAGATCCTATAAGTAACACCTCTGTTTTTTTCAGAATTTAGCAGTAAGAAATTACTCGTCGTCCAGTTTTTTTATATCGACTATGCATTCCGTTTATTTTTTCAAATTGGTATGTTTCGCCGGGCTGCAAAGACATATAGAGCTGAGTATCATCAGCATAACAGTGAAAGCTAACACCGTGTTTCCTAATTATATCTCCCAGGGGTAACATGTAAAGCGTGAAAAGTAAGGGCCGTAGTACTGAGCCTTGAGGTGCTCCATACTGCACTTGTGATCAATATGATACCTCTTCATTCACTGCTACGAATTGATGGCGGTCATACAAGTACGATTTGAACCATGCTAATGCACCGCCATCAATGCCAACAAAGTTTTCTAGTCTATTCAAAAGAATGTTGGGGTCAATAGTGTCGAACGCAGCGCTAAGATCCAGTAGCACTAATAGAGAGATACAACCACGATCAGAGGATAAGAGCAGATCATTTGTAACTAATGAGGGCAGTCTCAGTACTATGATACGGTCTAAATCCTGACAGGAAATCCTCACAGATACCATTTTTCTCTAAGAAGAAATATAATTGTGAGGATACTACCTTTTTTTAGTATCTTGGACAGTAAATGTAGATTCGAGATCGGTCTGTAATTAACTAGTTCTTTGGGGTCAAGTTGTGGTTTTTTGATGAGAGGTTTAATAACAGCCAGTTTGAAGGTTTTAGGGACATATCCTAATGACAATGATGCCAGAATTGCAGCCAGAACTAAAGTTCTCAGTGTCATGTGATCCTTCAGAAATCATTCTAATATGTTGATTTGGTGGAAACATTTATTATCAATGCTGATAAGAAAGTTTGTGCTGCTGTATATTTTTGTGGAATAAATGCTGTTCTTTTGAATTTTCTATTTATCAAAGAATCCTATTTATCAAAAAAAGTGTTTTCAACCTTCATAATAAGAAATGTTTGCTGCTGACAAGCATAACTGTGGCCTGTGTTTTGTAATTTGTTAAAGTAAGAATTTGTAAATGAAATTGAGTTACTTGCCATTTGCATTACGGATCGTCTCAATATGTTTTCCCGTACGCTGTTCAGGCTTTGCTGTGTGCAATGCTGACAAACCAGGAGAACATATCTGTGGATCAAGTCAAGAAGATCCTGAGCGAGGAAGAGGAGGGTGGCTCTGACTCTTCACAGCAGTGCTCCTCCGAGGATGAAGATATCTTCGAGGAGATGGCCCAAGTGAGTCCTCCACGGGCACGCGAGAAGCGTCAGTGGCACGCTCGCATCCCGTCGCTGAGCACGCAGCCCGCCAGCAGTGTGGATTGGGCATGGCTGCTCAAACGTCTGCATAAACTCTGCATGGACTTGTGCAACAACTACATTCAGATGCACCTGGACCTGGAGAGTAGTGTGGGAGAGCAGCTCACCCACTGGGCCGACCCGCTCTTTTTCTTGCCCCTTTTTAATTCGGAGACCTCAACACCATCTCCCGGGGGCCTGTCGGGCCACGGAACGTCCTCGGAGGACAGCTTCCGCCTGCACCTTGAAGAGACGCCCTCAGAGGAGGTCCACAGCCCTGGTGGGTTGGGAGCAACCCTCCCCCAGCTGAGAGGAGACAGGAGGGAAGGGGGTCGTAAGAAGGAATGGTGGGAGAGTGCGGGGAACAAGCTGTACACCATCGCCACCGACAAGACCATCACCAAGCTCATGATCGAGTACAAGAAACGCAAGCAGCAGCACAATCACACCACGTTTGCCAAAGATATGAAGGCGGGAGAGAAGAAAGGCGAGACGGTGACCCTGCGTTGCCCGGACTCCCCAGGGCCCCAGAGGCCTCAGCAACTGGTAGAGCAGGGGCCCATGCGTCACTCCTTAAGTGCGGGGCCCGAGCTACTGCGGCAAGAGAAGAGACCTCGATCGGGATCCACAGCCAGTTCCCACAACATCTCGCTCAGAGACTCTGAGGCACAGATACAGGTAAGACGGGGCAGGAAACAAAGTACAACTACCAAAATTACGCGAACAAGCACCACTCACATCAGCTGTCAACATGTTAACGCGGGTGAATCATTTGAAAAACTTATTAATGCACTTACCAATGTTGGCAGTAAAGGGGTCATGAACTGCCTTTGTTTTTTATTTTGTACTGGTCACTGAGGCCCACTTATAAAGTTATCAAGATTTTTGCATCAGAAAACATAATTTAGAAGTAATAGGCTATTTTCTGTCCTGTTTTTGACGCCCCTCATCAGAACGCTCTGTTTGAATAATCGTGGACTGGTCTAAACAGGCAGTGATGTAGAACCAGTGGGCGGAGCTAAACAGGCAGTGATGTAGAATCTGTGGGCTGGGCTAAACAGGCAGTGATGTAGAATCGGTGGACGGGTCTAAACAGGCAGTGATGTAGAACCAGTGGGCGGAGCTAAACAGGCAGTGATGTAGAATCTGTGGGCTGGGCTAAACAGGCAGTGATGTAGAATCGGTGGGCGGAGCTAAACGGGCAGTGATGTAGAAATGGTTTGTGGGGCTAAATAGGCAGTGATGTAGGAGCTGGCGTTGATCTTCTGCGGAGGCGGTGTTTAGCCACACTATTACATCATAGTGGTACATTCCACAAGCTGTGGTTTTGGCAGACTGTCTTCAATATAAGCTGTTTTAAGACTATTGACAAAGGTTTGAGTTCTGAAACGTGCAGGATGTTTTTATAGTACAATGACCTCTTATATGCCAAAAGATCAAGGGAATTTTGGTTTCTTAGTTCATGACCCCTTTAAAGTCAGCATGAAACAGAAGTTACAATCCTTCTTGAACTTGAAATAATGAATGGCAGGAATGTTGGGTCATTGTCAGATGGAGGGATTATTGTTGCACCCTCACATTGTTTGTTATTTATTGTCTTTGTTCACTAAAACAAAAACTGAAAATCTTTTTTGTTAACTAAAACAAAGCTAAAATAGAAATATTAGATGAAAGACTAACTGAAATAAAGTTGAAGTACCAAAATTACTAAAACAGAAATAATAAATTAAAGCTAAATAAAAATGTTTAGATAAAAATAAAAACTAAAAGACATGACTAAAGCACATAACAATTACAAAATCTTTCAAAAAAACAACGAAAACGAGAAGGGTTTGGCTGCAGCCTCGCACTTGCATTCTCAGACACCTGCGCTTCCGCTAGCGACATCACTTGCAGGCTTTATTTTTTATTTTGTTCTATTTATTGATTACTTTTTGTTTGAATCGCTCAACATTTTACAACAGCAGCCAGGTGGTGAAGACAAGAAAAAAGAAACTAAATTACAATGTCACTTGCAATCGCCACTTGCACTCTCCGATACCTGCGACGTCACTTGTAATCGACAAATCGTGCATGTTGCCAATGGAGAGAAGACGCTGTAGTGATTAAACGATTACAACTAATTTAGTACTATAACATACAGGGTCCTGCAAGAAAAAGACAAGACCCGCAAATCCGTGGCCACAGAACAGCAGAATATGAACGCATGCGCAAAGTCTCTTGTTAAGCGTTTTCCTCCTGTAGAAAAACAAACACTTAACATGGCGTAATGTATTAAGATGCTATTAAAATATCAAATTGAATATACAATTTATTAATATAATGAATATGTATATAGTATTTTCCGCAAAACGTGGCATAATGGACTAAAAAGGCCAAACTCCATATGCTCCTCTACATTATTAATATACATAACTAATATGTACAGGCAAGCAGATGAGCCCAGAATAAATGCAACACGCACAGTTTCGTGTTGTGTTTTTCCATATAGAATAAACTGTCTACAGATCTTTTATATCATTGTCTTTGTCCATTAAGCTACGTTACGTGTTTTATTTATAATGATTTTCTATAGGAGGAAAATATTTAACGTGCAATTTAACGCATTGCGTTCTGGGCTCGTCTGCTTGCCTGTACGGAGTTGATCCTTTTAAAATCACTTAATGCATTTCAAAATGCACGTTCATATTTGTTGGTCTGTATATACTTTGAGTCAACAACAAGACATATAGGCTACTGAATTGTCTTTATCATCCGTTATGATAAGCGTTTTGCTGTATGGGAGGACAAGTGAAAGTTTGCGCATTCTGTTCATAGCCATCGACCACAGCCATATCACCCTGTAGCCCAAGACTGGTTGCCCACTCAAGCTAAGCAGGGTTGAGCCTGGTCAGTACCTGGATGGGAGACCTCCTGGGAAAACTAGGTTGCTGTTGGAAGAGGTGTTAGTGAGGCCAGCAGGGGGTGCTCACCCTGTGGTCTGCGTGGGTCCTAACGCCCCAGTATAGTGACGGGGACACTATACTGTCAAAAAGCACCGTCTTTCGGATGAGACGTTAAACCGAGGTCCTGACTCTCTTTGGTCATTAAAAATCCCATGGCACTTCTCGTAAAGAGTAGGGGTGTAACCCCGGTGTCCTGGCCAAATTGCCCCCCTGGCCTTTGTCAATCATGGCCTCCTAATAATCCCCAACCACTTGATTGGCTCTGTCTCTCTCTCCTCTCCACCTGTAGCTGGTGTGTGGTGAGCGCACTGGCGCCGCTGTACTGTGGCTGCCGTCGCATCATCCAGGTGGATGCTGCACACTGGTGGGGGTTGAGGAGAGACCCCCCCACCCCACATGATTGTAAAGCGCTTTGGGTGTATAACAATACACAATAAAGTGCTATATAAATGCATCATTCATTCATTCATTCATTCATTCATCTGTTTGCCTTACATTAAATAATAACTATATATCGAATTTGATCTTTTAATTGAACTTAATGTATCTTAATACATTACGCCATGTTAAGTGTTTGTTTTTCTACTGGAGGAAAACGCTTAACAAGAGACTTTGCGCATGCATTCATATTCTGCTGTTCTGTGGCCACGGATTTGCGGGTCTTGTCTTTTTCTTGCAGGACCCTGTATGTTATAGTACTAAATTAGTTGTAATCGTTTAATCACTACAGCGTCTTCTCTCCATTGGCAACATGCACGATTTGTCGATTACAAGTGACGTCGCAGGTATCGGAGAGTGCAAGTGGTGATTGCAAGTGACATTGTAATTTAGTTTCTTTTTTCTTGTCTTCATCACCTGGCTGCTGTTGTAAAATGTTGAGCGATTCAAACAAAAAGTAATCAATAAATAGAACAAAATAAAAAAAATAAAAGACTGCAAGTGACGTCGCAGCGGAAGCGAGTGCAAGTCTGAGAGTGCAAGTGCAAGGCTGCAGCCAGACCCTCTTGACGAAAACTGAAAATATAAAACTAAAAGCGAAATCAATATTAATAAATGCTATAATAGTATGTAAATCATTTTAAATTTAGCTAAATTGAACAAAAAAGAAAACACTTTGCAAGATAGTATTTAATCACAACAGAAGCACAACAAATCCTAACAATCACCCAAAAGCCAAAAGACGGTCAGTTCCCATTGATTGGACGCTCTGGCACAAACTTTTGATCCCTGCTTGTGTCAAACTGTTTCTGCTTCATATGGCCACAGGATAAGCCATTAAAGCTAGATGTGAGCTGCAGTTTCTGATCAGCACTCTCTTACAGAGTAAACATGCGTGTGCTTATGGATAGCAGCTGGATTCAGTTCGGCCCTGCGGGACGGGGCTCAGATGACTGGGGCACAGGCGCATCCACACCTCCTTCAACTGAGGACCGTCTTAAGGTAAAACACTTTAGTTTGCTTATGGACTAAGGGGTATAAGGTTTGGGTACTAAAGTACTACCCTTGAAACCACAGGCCACTTAATCACATAGTGAGATGCATCCTTGCACCATCATCTCATCACAGTTAACATCTTCATACACATTCCACATTTCATTGAATTCATGTAACAATTCTTCTAGTGTACTGGGAGAAGGAAGCAGCACACTGGTCTACCAGTCATTGTAGATCAAGCTCAATAATTAATCACCGTTTTGATGCTACAAGAGAAAGGATGTTTTCCCTGGTGAATTTGACGACTGTGTTTCAGACAAACTGCATGACACTCAGATTAAGTGCTAAACCTCAAGTAACATCTGTTTTTGGTTCTTTTGTCTGTTCTCCAAAATGTACAGTTTTTGTTTTAAAATAATTTTAAAGGGGTCATATGATGTTGCT